GAAACTGTGACTATGTCTGCTCAGTATAGTTACAGGAGAAACCACAGATGGGCCCTGCAGGTGTTAAAACACACACACACACACATATATATATATATATATATATATATATATATATATATATATATATATATATATATGTGTATGTGTGTGTGTGTGTATATAATCATGTTTTTTAATCATGTTAAACTTTATTTTTATAATGTATGTTTGAAATTGTGCAGACTATTGTCTTTCTTATTTAACAGTATATTTATTTATTCCCGTCTACCATGTTGAATAATCGGGAAATCTTATTAAAGAAATATTTACTCTCTTAAATATATCCCAATATAGTCAACAGTCCGTAGCAATGATATAGCAATAGTCCGTAAGAATTTAATTTTAACCAAAAATAGACTTGTACACATCTATTCCTGCAAGATAAAATTTCAAAGAATATATCTAGAGATGTAACGATTATGATTACCATGTCAACCACCAACGCAATCAGGCACGCAGCCCGCTAACATATGCATATATAGAGAACTCGTAATTATTCATGGTGATTTGGATTTATCAACTTTCCGCAGGATTTCTGTAGCGACAGTCCGTAAGAATTTAATTTTCGCCAAAAGGAGTCATACACTTCATTTCCTACAAGATATGGCTTCGTAGAGTAAACCGTGAACTGTAACGAGTGAAATCAGCATGAACTTTTTCTTGGAACAAAACCTGTGGAAATACACCATAGCTTGTCTACAGACTCTGGTAAAGATGAACGGAATGACCCTACTTAGTGGTTCAAACCTCTTTTTATTTCTTTTTTTTTTCCTTTTCATATTCTACATTATTTTTATATGCTAATGTTTTTTGTCGGTTTTAAAATCTTCCTGATCCACCATTTACCGAGATATTCACTTTAATGGGTAGGAATTTGTCGAAAGCCATAATCGTCCACCTCCTAACCGGAAATGACAGACATAATTAGATACTACCTGCTGATTGATCCGCCATAATTGATTGGTCCGTCATTATTAGTGGGATTTAATATTTTCTATGAATTTTCTATTACCTCCCCATATTTTTTTGGTATCAATTGTCAAAACAATATGTGTAATTGACATTTGGATATATTTTCTCATTGTAAGATAAGTTTAGTGTATTTTTACTTAATAATTATTTTAAACTATACGACAAGTTGTTTAAATTCTCACTTCTTAGTAAAACCTGATCAATGAATTTGATTTTTTAAAAAGATCATAGCTGATAGAGAAGATTCAATGTATTTGTACGTTTGTTTGATGCAATATCAACACTTATGGGTCATTTAATACCGAAATTTAATATTTAGGGAGCTTTGAAGAAATAGAAATATATATATAAATGATACTCAGGTTTTCTGCATATACATGTTTGTGGGAAGATAATTATGTTAGTGGGTGATAGGCGTATTTCATGTTCTTTTCTTGAAGTTATATTTTGGAATACAGTTTGATTTATTGAAGAAATTGTCGGATATTATAAGGATTATTATCATGCAAGTTTTTGATGTCAGTTAGTTGATTTTTTTAACGCATTTCAACCCAAGCGAGGTATAAATGCCATTAGTAAGCAGTGTCTGGGTACAGAGAGTGAAGTAAAAGAAAAGACTGGATATTGCGGAAACAAGAAGAAAAGGGTCACGGCATCAGAAAACAACGATTGACGCTGCCTTTAATATTTTGAAGATTTTTTTTGTAGGTATCAGAGAGGCAAGTCTGTTGAAGGGAGTTCCACTCTCGGGAAGCGCGAGAGAAGAAGCTCCTGAAGTAGAAGTGGAAGATTATATTTAACTGTTTCAACACGAAAAGGGTGGGACCGATATGCCAAGCTAGTAGCACGCTTAAATAAATGTAAACGAGCAACCAGAGAAAATATTTCATCAAAGCTGGTGCCATGTAAATATTTGTAGATAAAACAGAAGGAAGACACATCACATCTGTGAGAAAGTGACTGGAGTTGAGTTACCACGTCAGGTCCGACTACATTTGGATTTTTTTAATGGCAAAATATCTCTAGGAGTTATTTAATGCCGATATCTAAATATTAAGACCGCAGTGTTATGGCTTCAACTAAATATATTTTAAACATAATTGCATTACTTCAACTACAGATAAAATGTTTTTTTAGTGATTCTATAAAATTGCATTTTTATGGTTTCATCGTGTTTTGTTTTGTTTTCACTATTTACCCATATCTGGGTCCCTAACATGTGCAACCACCACGAGTCAGCATTTAAGATGGGGTTCCGTGCTCTTCAAAACCGCCAATCCCTCGATCAGAGGCCTTACTGCCGGATGTAGTTTATCGTCATACCAAGGGCAAAAGCGTTGATGTAATATATACTTTATAATTACTTAACAGTTCATTTCAAGAAACAAAACATTTAAGGGAGATTATGTATAAAGATTACAATATGACAATCTGAGATGCTATGTAAGAAAACTTTACTTGATTAAAATTCATTATTTTAAATCCTAGGTTTTACGTTATATGAAATACAATTAGAGTTAGATGATTGGATACTAGATTAGATACGTTTGAAAAAAATAAAATGAATTTCCTCCCTTACTATTCATTTTGAAGAAAATCATTAAAATATTCCGTAGCGCTTGACTTTCAATTTGAACCCAATTTTTATCCTTTTCAATCAAACTGGCAGCCATGAAGCGATTGCTTGAAGATAAATATAAACGTTAGTCGCAGAAAAGCGACAGGATTAAGACTTGAAAATTAAGCAGCAAATCATTGAACTCATATTTGTATGAAGTACGTAAGTTTCAGCAAATAAATTACATTCACGGTGAATCAGAAAATGCAAGTAACTATCCCATACGGTCTGCAAATTGTTAATATGAATTAATAAACCAGCATTTACTATTTTTATTGGTTTATTACGTTTTACGGCATATGAGCCTCAATGGGTCAATGGGTTATTTTATGCCGAAAAGATTGTTAGGATAAGATCATACGAATAGAACATGTAAGAAATCAGTTTGTAGATCAGTTTGTTTCATTGACGTATTTTTGTAAAAGTTTTATTTTTGGTATAGAGTCAAATATATTTGGCAATATTTTTTCTTCACAAATCTATTACTAGTAATATTTTTTCAAAAATGTATTGCTGGTAATATTTTATAGTGTTTTGACACCAGTTTTGGGGCTCACTATTTGCCCATATGTCGGACCCTAACAGGTGTTACCACCCGAGGTCAGGGTGGACATTTGAACAACAGCAATTAAGAGGTGGTTCCACGCTTAAAATGTCCACATTCGAACACTCCCAGCATTTTATGCTTTTACCATAAAGTTATGAGCCAATTATTGACCGTTGAATTAAATTGAAGAAATACATACTGTGTTTAAATACTCTTTTATGGTCCAAGTTTCCATTTTAATTCTTAGAGTGTTTGAGTTGGTTTTTACAGATTATCAACATGTACCGGCTTATTTGAAGCAAGAAAAGTTTAATTACCCTGTAAACACTTTTGAAGATGATAATGATCTACGGATACAAGCCATACTAATTAACCCATAGAGTGGTTACATAAGATGTGGATTCATATCTTTCCGAAGGGTATTTGTTCATAAGTGTTATGGTCCAAGTTCCTTGTACTACGGTGATGGTCCAAGTTCCTTGTACTACGGTGATGGTCCAAGGTTAGAACCAATGAAAGAACACAAGTATGGAATATAAAGATATATTACAACAGAAATATAATACAAAGAAGTAGAAGTATTAATAATGACTATCAGATTTGGCTAGAGTTGTCTATGTTGTCTCGACAAGTATCACTATTCCAATGTCCTTACAATATTCTCTCAATTATCTCTCCTCGTCTTACAATCTCCCTCATCCCTCTTGAGAGGCGCAGTATTTATAATGTCAGGAATTGTCCATTATTATTATGGGTAAGTTCCCATAACAATAAGTGAATATAACGAATCCAAAAGAGGTCGCCACTATAGGTACTGCCTAGACTCGATGTAACATAGATTCATTGATCGTACGAGAAATAGTATATAAATGAGATATATCCGTAAGCCCGGTTCCGACTTGGATGTACTAAAAAATACATCATCAGCTAATCTGCATATTTTTCGTTAATATACAGTTCTTTCTCTTATCATCTCTGACAGCAATTTTCGGTCTGCTGTAACGTTGGAAGGAACAACCGAAATAACATTTGTTTTTCATTCCAGTTTATCATACACAACTAATCTATGCATTTAAAGACATCGACATAGATCAGCAAATTATTAGGACCTCTATTTTGGAAAACATCAAATAGTAAACAGCGAAGAGTTTCCACAATCAAGTTAATGTCACATATACTTGGCAAGGAACAAATGTAACTGCTTGTTCGAGAAAATGTCAAGATTGTTACATTCTCAGGTTAACGGAACATTAAGAAGCTATTTGCATAGAATATTGTAATACATTTAGGATGTATAGTGTGTTGTCTAAAGTCTTCAAAATAAATATTTTTTTACTGAAAAATTATTTAGCACTTTCTTCCGATAAACACATCTATTACGGTTATATTGTGATCTCGTTAGGAGTAAGTATTTTATTGTGAACTGGGATTTCACATACTCCCATAGAAAAAAAATTGATTTAGACAGGAATCAAATTATATTTAGCAAGATACTTAAAACGTCAGCTAATTATTTTGTTTATCCCTTTAATAAACACTTATCGTTCTGCAAATCATTGAAATTCCAAGGGTACTGTAATGATATAATCACTTTATTTATGCAGTCACTTTTTCACAATCATATATATATATATATATATATATATATATATATATATATATATATATATATATATATATATACATATGTATGTATGTGTGTAGAATGCTTTCTACAAATCATTTTTCATCACACACCCACACACACATACACACACACTCCGACACACACAGACATTTTTATATATATATGTGCGTGTGGAGGCCTACAATAAATATTACGTTGAAACACTCGCTCTCGTAGGATCACCGAAGTTAAGCAACGTCAAGTTTGCTCAGTAGTAGATGGATGACCACTTGGAAATAATAGGTGTTGCATGCTTAGACGTATCTCTAGTGTTATGGTTAACTGATCGAAATTGGAATTCGGAGAACCGCGTTCAATTCCAGTCGGGTTCTTCATAGTTACTTATCCTTGAACAAGGTATGAATCCACCGCTTCTCTCAACCAGCTATTGGTAAATTAGTGGGCACTTGATTCAGTAAATTATTGTTATCTCCCCGAAAATCTTAAAATCTAAAATATTTTATGGCATTAAATAACGTGTAAAAGTTTGATAAGCCGTAAAAAACACATCACTTGCACCATATATATATATATATATATATATATATATATATATATATATATATATATATATATATATATATATATAATGTATGTGCACTACTGAGAGGGTTTTTGCTTTGAAAAAATATTTTGTCAAAGGTCAATTTGTTAAAGATTGGTTAATATCTATTCTTTCTGCATCATAGTCACCTAGTGACCTAGTTATGTGTTTTCGCAAATATAAACCCATGTCAATAATTGTACCCTATTCACAAGGGATATATTCATTTTTCTCGTTTTTTTTTTAATGTATATAATCTGCTAGCATTTTAATTATTATTGGAACAATTCGTAATATACTGAACTGTGATAACACTATATATATTAGAGAATTATATGAATTATCAAGATGTCTACCCCAGTGAGCGAAATAAAGGGTTCAGTTCGAAATTCAAACCACCTGAAGAAGGCCAGAACGTACAACGGCCGAAACGTTGTGATAGATATGGCGACAAAGATGAGGACAATAGTCCGAATATTGTAAATAATGATGAAATAATTTTATCACTGATAAGTCAAAACTAGAAGAAAAATATAATATATAGCCTCACTCATTTCTTTAGGCAAACAATATAGGCTATCTTTTAATGAATGAAGTGATTTTTTTAAAAATATCTATACTTGCATTTCTATCACAAAAAAAAAAATAAATAAATAAAACTTAATTTAAAATAACTTAAGGAGTTACTAAGCGTCCTTAAAATGAGGCACAAAGGTAAAACTATGAAGCACCCAGGCAGAACTGAACTCGCTACTCAGTCGTAATTTCTAATATTCTAAGCGGAGCTTAGATGTGGCACAAGGCCGAAAGTGCAGGGCACACAGTGAGGATTGAAATCATTATTCAGTCGTAACTGATCTAACAAAACAACCTTGTTAAACTTTGCACCACGTAGAAGTACCCCAAAAATTACAATGAGAAAATCCGTGAAAGAGATCATGGCCCTCCACATTTTCTTAAACTATGTAGTTCTAAGCAATATTTATCTTATTCGGCTCAATTCCAGTCACTATTCTATCATCAATTTACACGCACACTTTAGGGACGAAACTCACATTTCGCTTCTTGTCGTGTGATTGCCAACTTCTGCGAGAATTCTTTCTTCTTTATCTATCCGTAAAACCATCAATATTTCTTTCTTTTTTGTAACCACTTTCCTAACAACTTCTTCATTTACCTCGCCCTGGGTATGACGATAAACTACATCCGCGTCCCGGGTAAGACGATAAACTACCTCCAAAAGCAAGGTCTCTGAATAGGAGTTTTAGGGAGAGTAGAACCATTTCTTATTTTCTGGTGTTCTCAGGTTCACCCTGACCCGGGGTGGTAGCACCTGTTAGGGTACCACCTATGGGTAAATAGTTAACCCCCAAACTGGGCTCAAATCTCTATAAAATTGTAAAAATAGGTTTTAATACCAGAAATACTTTATAAAAAACAAATTACCGAGAATACATTTTTGAAAAAAAAAAACAAAAAAAGAAATACTTTGAAAAATTTGTTGCCAGCAATAAATTTTTGAAGAAAAAATTATCGACAGCAATACATTTTTGAAAAAGAAATATTACCAGCTTAACATATTTGCAAAAAATATTACCAGCAACACATATTTGAAGCAAAAAATACTACCAGAAATAGATTTTTTGAAAAAAATAATTACAAACTAGAAAAATTTTGTCGGCATTAAATAACCCATTGAGGTCAATATGCCGTAAAACAAGCCAAACCAAACCAATCCTCATTTACCACATTGTCAGCCCATGGTATTCTCAGCCATGTTTATAAAACGCTATCTCTGTGTTGTCTCCTCTCTCCTTACGTAACTTTTTGTTGTTGCTGTTGTTGTTGTTGTTGTTCTTCTTCTTCTTCTTCTTCTTCTTCTTCTTCTTCTTCTTCTTGTCATGACCTTTCAGGATATGGTATCTTTCCATTTCTCCCTGTCTTTTGCATCTTTTAACAATATTTATCCTATTCCTATATCTCAATATTCCGCCATCGGTTTACACAGAGATGTTATGTAGACTATTCACTGTTTCACTCGTTTCCTTTTATTTTTAACATATCCTGCGAATATAATAGTTTCCAAGTCTTCTTCCCGTCATTATGCCTTCTAATAATTTCCACTCCCATTCTGATTCTAAAAACCCGTGTGCATTCAATTTCATTTTCATTAAGACTTCCTTATTGCTCACATGTTCTCTCCATGACATTCCCAGGCTCTTTCTATACATCGATGAGTGTGTCCTCCATTACAACTTTATGGCAATAGTTCAGTTTTTCATATAAGAGGATTGATTACATAACATTTCAGCAATCCTTCTTTTGTTTTCTCTTCCGTCGTCTGCTCTAAAATTAACTTAATCATTACATTTAGCTTCAGCAATGCTAGGCTCGCATCTAAGTAAGTCTATATTGATAATCTTCATACAATCCCCCTACTTTCAATAGAATTTTCTCCCGAAATGTGCACTTATCCACACATTTTGATCTTCAAACTTTTGGTTATTCTGAAGGGAATAGGAGGTAGATGTTGGATTAAGAAGTAAATATATTCCTTTTCTCCCAGGACACTTCCCTAAAGGGAATATAACACGCTTATGCTGAAATTCGTGTTTTGTTCAAACATTCATTTTAGGTGTCGATAAATATAACACCATGCTGTTCTCATCTGAAAGGAACAGTTATATAGAGTTCAGAATTTATAACCACGGATATATATACACATTTTATACATATATATTTATATATATATATATTTATAGATAGATAGATAGATAGATAGATAGATAGATAGATTGATTGATTGATAGGTATGCGTATGTATGTACGTATGCGTAAGTTTAGATTAGAATCCCAGAGAATGTTAAATATCTAAGAAAATTTGTAAAGTTTCTATTTCGACAATTTTCTGCTATGAAATTGTATTATCATAAAGGGTGTAATTTGGAATAAAATGTTCTTTCTCACGTCTCTCTCTCTCTTTCTTTCTTTCTGTAGATAGATAGATAGATAGATAGATAGATAGATAGATAGATAGATAGATAGATAGATACGACATTGTATCAGTGACACCTTACACTATTGCGTAATTATTACATTAATCTGATACCAAATCTTTAAAGAGTTGATTATTTAACAGGCATAAGGATTTGTATTATTCTAAAATAAAATAAATATTCTATGGATAAACTGAATGTTTTTTTTTTTCTTTAATCTTCGTATTTATTGGGCTACATACGAATTTGGATTCGTACATATATATATATATATATATATATATATATATATATATATATATATATATATATATATATATATATATAAACATGGGTGTGCGTTTTATTCAACTGATATGCGTTTTCTACGCTTTTATTTTATTTTTTTATGTTTCATCACACATGCATAACACTATCTCGCAGATTAACTTGTCACTTATTGTCATCTAATGAAATTCGTTCACATGTTGAGAATCACTTCACAAATAACCAAAATCCAACTGTTAACTTAAAAATGTATTATAGATGTTAAGAAAATACGATCTAACAGTGACTGTATAAAGATATTCAACTAACACAAATATATATATATATATATATATATATATATATATATATATATATATATATATATATATAGATAGATAGATAGATAGATAGATAGATAGATAGATAGATAGATATTGTGTTTATTGCTTATCTTCAAAATGAGCACATCATCAAATGCGAGTAATGGCAGGGAAAGTTACGAAAAGCTATCTAGATTAAACTCTAATGAAAAATGAAGAAAGAGGCCTTGTTTCATCAGAACAGTCAACCAGCGCACAAGTTCTTGGTTTAAATGGCTAGCGTGTGTGACTGTTACTTTGAAGTTGTTGATCACCTATCCTATTCTACCTATTTGCAACCATCTGACTTTCATCTGTTCTCCAACAGAAAAAATACTTAGCTAGCAACTAGTCTCGCAGTGTTGGTTACATCGTATCTGCTGTTGATACATTTTTTGACGAACAGGATAAAAGCATCTTCACCAATGATGAGCAACACTGATCGAACGTGTGTGTAGCACAAAGGGGTTGTTGAAATATAAGTCTCATTTGGTCATATATATATATATATATATATATATATATATAAAGATAAGTATCGTTTGGCTATTATATATATACACATATACACAGAGAGAAAACTGTGTGTTAGTGTATGTAGTTTTCGATTAAGTTAGGAAAATGACAGTCACCTTTAATGTTTATTTCTCTGTCCACACAGTTTATATATACAAATGTTATCTCTTCTCTATTGACCAATCATCCACCATATATATGTTAATGGCAGTCGTAATATAATCCGCTTCTCTGCAATGTAACATTGTGTATACATTGACCCAGCAGCCAGTATATCATTCGGTCGACATTTATGAAATCTTCCTGTTAAAACAACTTTTTCAGGAAAATAGTTTTCTCAAGCCCAGTAACTCTTTTTAGTACTGATTGGGGTTTCATTCGTAAACTTTTATTTGACGTAATGTGAAATTGCATCTCCCTGATTACAACATTATTTACTCTTCGAGTTACATGTGCTATCCATTTTGGTGGTTACTGCTGTTTGAAGTCTTCAAATGATGTTACTTGTATTATTTTGTACAGTTTTTTTTTTTATTTTTATATTTTTTTTATTCTGTAGCGCCAGTCAACAACTTTCAAAGAAGGATGTTTTACTCAGTGAAAGTCATTTCTAACCATTGATCTTAGATCGAGTCTCGTTCTGACGAGATTATGGAAGAACATGATTCATGTTTTCAGGTTAGTGTTTTACTTTTGCGATATTGGTCGAAAGTACATCTGGTGCAGTTTATTCTATGTTCAATTTAATTTTGATTTGCTTTTTAAAGCCTCATGGTTTCCTTAGTCGGCAACCACATATGGCAATTGAGTCACATGTTACAGTATTATTTTGTAATAATTCAAAGCTGAAAGTTAATATAAACTCAAAAATATTACTGGGATGTAAAATCAAAATATGAAGGGTGATATTGGGAAAAACAACACAAAAAAATTGATGCAAGCTTAAAGTTTATATGGCGCATATTTTCAGATACACATGCATTTATATATATATATATATATATATATATATATATATATATATATATATATATATATGTGTGTGTGTGTGTGTGTGTGTGTTTGTGTTTGTGTTTGTGTGTGTGTGTGCCTGCGCGTGTGTGTGTGCAGGTGACGTATCTTCTATATTCAATTTACTTTTCTCCTATAGTCACCTTTTCCTCTTTATGTAATATGTATATATGTGAATGTAAACTAAATAACGATATCCTAAAAACCGTGTGTGCGTGCGATAGCGTGCATACGCAGACAAGAAAATAAATATCTATTTAATTTAATATATGGTGCAAACAAAACAATGCACAGTCTAGTTAAACGGAACTATGTACTATATATTAATAAATACACATATACCTACGTTTGTAGTTCTTTTTAAAGCCTCATGGTTTCTTTAGTCGGCAACCACATATGGCAATTGAGTCACATATTACAGTATTTTTTTTTAATAATCGGCCTCATTTAAGGAACGATAGATTATAATTCAAAGCTGAAAGTTAATATAAACTCAAATATATTACTGGGATGTAAAATCAAAATATGAAGGGTGATATTGGGAAAAACAACGCAAAAAATTGATGCAAGCTTAAAGTTTATATGGCGCATATTTTTCAGATACACAAGCATATATATATATATATATATATATATATATATATATATATATATATATATGTGTGTGTGTGTGTGTATATATATATATATATATATATATATATATGTTTGTATTTTTTTGTGTGTGTGTGTGTGCGCGCGTGTGTGTGTGTGCAGGTGGCGTATCTCTGGAGATATCCGATTGGGTGTAGACAGTTAATTGGACATATAGATTACACAAAACACCTAATATTTATAGGTTTAAAGAATTCAACGTTAAGATGATCAAATCCACCATATGGTATTTGATTTCACTTTGGCTATAGGTAAATTAGGTCTATATACATGGATACCTTGCCTTGAGGTCAGAAGTGGATGGCGTCAATATATAGTCCTACTTGGATCTTATTCGTATCAAACCGACATATCTAATTTCGGGAAATTGGAGAAACCCTATGGGCGGCGTCAATGGAATAACAATGAAGAATAACTGTCACGTTCATGGCAACGGAGAACTGTTAAACAATGGCTGATATCTAGAATAATGCGTGAACAAATGCTTAGCAGTTGTTATTCTTAATGTTCTGGATCTTTGCACTTAATTCTTTGTCTTAAAGTCTTCAAATACTCACAATAAGATAAATTTCACCAGAGGGAATTCTTTGCGCGTATTTCCCTGAATTTTAAAATTAGATAAGCGTTGACATAAACCTGAAGCGAAGTTAATGCTACTGCTAAGTCCATTTCAAAAGTCTATGATCTTTCGATAAATTTGATGTTGGTGATGAAGTTCCTTTTGCGCTGAACTTGGAATTATTTATAAAGACAAATGCGGTGTTGTTTTACGTATATATTGAAACGTTTTCACATTTACAGCAGTGACTGTTTAAAGGCTACAGTAAAACTAGGTGAACAGTCCACTGAAAACGTTCTACCATTCAATAAACATAAGCTTTTCCCTCTGGCTGAGACGGATGAACTAAAACGTGATATATTCTGTTGTCAAGCCGGTCGATAATTTTCGAAGGATTTATTCCTATTTGAAAGACATTCTCTCGTTGTTGAACCATTAGTACTACATCCATGTGATTTTTTTCTCTCTTAAGCGTGGCGTTTTTCTCCAAACGATTCCTTTAAAATATTAAGAAATATTTGAAGAAATAAAATTTGAATGACCTTTTTCTTTTAAAAATATTCCATTTCTGTAAGGTTACAATCAACAGAGAAACAATACACAGTTCTCTAGAGGGTGTATCAAAAATACCTTTACAAATTTTGAGGGCGAATTGTTCACAGCAAACAAGAACAAATGTCCATATAAACATATGTCTCCAAATCAATATGAAGACCCTGTTAAATGTACAATCCAAAAATATTTTTTACAAAATTTGGGGGAGGATACCTGACACCAAAACAAGACAAAATGTCCATATAAGCATATGTCCAAAAAGTCATCGTTGTACTGCAACACAGTAACCCATAACGAATGCTTAAAATGTGCTCCACTTGATTCTACAGACGCATGCACCCGTCGGATGTTTGACTGGCGAACCTTTTCAAATACACCCATACGGTGTCGATAGATTTCGCAGGCCCTCTATTTTTGTTGCGAGAGACCCACCGTCAATGTTTGTAAATGTATTTTTGATAAACCATCTATATGTGTTTTTATAAAAGAACATTTAACTTGTTCGTTGTTTGTAAATATGTGAAATTTACGTACGATATAAAGTTTGAACGCACTATTGAAATTCCCCAAAACTTCATGTACCATCTTTATATATATATATTATATATATATATATATATATATATATATATATATATATATATATATATATATATATATATATAACCAATATACTTAATTTTGGGTTATTCATGTAAGCTCAAATTTTGTTTTCCCTGGTCGCGGAGATTTTGTATCTTACAGACAATTTTATATATGTGCTTACTTTATTGAAATCAATGTAATCTCTTTAGCATTTGGAAGTGCATTTTCTTCTGCCTGTCTACCACACTCTCAATGTTTTTCTTTCTACTAAATAAAATTGTATTCGTGCATTGCGAAATGTGAGAAAATATATTCTAATACGCTAAAGTGTATTTTCATGAATGTGAATTACTGCTGATTCTTCACACTAGAAATGTTTTCCCCGGAGATTTTGGTAAATATTCAGAATTCTTAAAACGGTTGAGTGGACTTCTTCGACGTATTATCTGTTGCATTCTCAAAACTCGGACCAACACGGTATTATATTATCTTCTCTGCATTAATAAATGCATGAATATCTATCTCTCTATCTAGAAATCTATCTATGTAGAAATCTATCTATCTAGAAATCTAT